TACGTTTACCGCACTTGGAACTCGTGGACGCAACCACCGACGACCCAAGAAGTGGATGCCTGAATCGACGGTCAGGGAGAAGTAGAAACCTCTGTGTTGGGGCACTTCACGTGAAGCCGGACCATATAAGTATCTAAAGGGAAGGGTTCCCAAGTCAGCTCGGCCAACCCGAATGACTCATATATCACCGTAATGAGCTTAAAATGCTCACTCCAAATCTGCTTTTGGTTCCTGCGGAGCAACTCTACAAAGGAAGTTATCAGCGTTTGAAAGTCCAAATTTCTCAAGTCTTAAGCGGTGTGAAATTGGCGAAAGCTGTACAATATCACGAAAAGTGGGTTTTCAGTTTTGTATCAAGTACACTGACTACAAGAACGGAAAACAGCCAGTGGAAGTCCGCTAGGTGTTGTTCTAGAGCTTTTCGCTAATTTGATTAGCCACTTCAAACATGACAAATTCATACTTTCAAACCCTCATAAATTCTTTTGTAGAGTCGTTCTGCAGGAAAGGAAAGCAGATTTGGAATCAGCATTTCGAGCCCGTTACGGGGATGTATGACTCATCCGGGTTGGCCGGGCTGACTTGGGAACTACTCTTCCTTGTAAGCAAGTGTATACTATTTTTGACTTTCTCCCTTTTTTCCTCAGATTTTCGCGTACGGCAAGTGCTGATGAAATTTCAGCGGAAATTCAGATTTCATAAAGGCAATTTGCATTTCACAGCATGCAGGTGCAAAGCTGCCGCAAAAACATTTGGCACGCGTTGTAGAGTTTTTGTGCTCATGGGGTCCACAGCAATTTTTGCTCCAGCTTCGGCGCAGAAGTCACTATGGAAAGCGTAGTGGGCAACATACTCACTGCATTATTAGGCAGCTTATTGGGTGGAAGCCCAAATGTTCTTTTGTGCTAGCTTAGACTCTGATTATTCATTTGCTGTACATGTAGTCAAAAGCCACTTACTCCTTAGTTGAGGCTGAATAATCCCCAAATCTCCAATCTCCAAAGCCTCCAAATTACACGTTGCTGCACGACAAGGCGCAAATATCTTTGGGCCCGAAAGCGGTTTTATTAGCCGCAGAGCGCATGAGGCACGAATTTACAATGGTGAGATACGCGTGAGCAGCGTTCACGCCCGCTGAGCTAATACTGCTTATGCGCCTTCGTCATGCAGCAGCCTTTACGCGGGCGATGAAAGACGAAAGGTCAAGATCGCAGCAAATCATTGAGAGATTTGTGCTACGATGTTATGACTAGAGCATACCCAGGCTAATTTGGATTATTCTCACTTGAAATAAGTCGTTACACTATCCAAAGAAGCACTGAAAACGAGGTACCCTATTTTCAGGTGCATAAGCCGCGGGGTGGTCCTAGCTTACATCGACCAGCCCGAACACATCAAAGGACCTCGCAACCAAAGGATCCTACACCGTGCTACGATTGCCTGAAAGAATCGTGCGGCATAAGGATCGCCTCTCGAAACACAATGAAGCGGTTGAGCAGCTCGTGGGAAAATTTGAAAAAGTGCGGCTTAACACCTGAAAATAGGGTACTTGCAAGCACAGGAAAAAACGAAGGTATACAGAAAGAGACGAAACGCATCGCATGTCATCCTGTCAAACAAAAACGCATCGCATGTCATCCTGTCAAAAATGGTTCAACGGACTCAGAATTTTCAGTTTGGTTACGTCACCATTCTTCGCTTTTTCTTTTACGTATGAGGAACGTACACTATGGAGCATTGTGTGCATATCCACGTAAATAGCCGAGTTTTCCTATGAAAATCCGTTCAAACAGATTATGACATTGCCTACGCAAAATGGAGAGAATTAAATTCATCGCAGATTCTCTAAGAATGTTTTCATTTATGTGTGATTTCATCAATACGAGTAATCAAGAGCAGACTTTTGAAACTTTTGAAGAGCGATTTAGTAGTTATATATTTAAGTAACCTCTACATAATTGTGCATACGTGTTGTGCTCCCTTTTACCGCAAGCTTTGCCCATCTAATAAGATAAAGAGAAGATTTGACGCTGCTTGTGATTCGAATCAAATTTTGACCTGATTGTCAGAGTTGCGATTGATATGTCAGCGATTCAGGAAAACATAAATTTCAGACGCCATCTCGAGGGATACAACTATGCGGAACTGTGCAAGTATGGAGCTGATCGCTATTATTTTATTGGTTGTTAATAACTATGCATATATGCTTCACTACATATCTTCTACAGGTTCAAACTGTGACGGCTCATCTACTATTCTCATTAAAGATAAGTCAGCAGCAACCAGAAGAAGTTCATGGTTGAGCACAACGTTATGATCGCATATTAAGCTAATCTTTTCAGATAGGCTTACAATATTCAAATAAAAATTCATATTGCTTGAAAAATTGCTCATTTCTGTATTAAAGGATTGTTATAGCTAGTATGGGACGAGGGACGAGTGGCGTAGTGGTATGAGGCGCCGCTATGACCAGATCGGATGCAGGTTCGATCCCCGCTCCTGGGCCAACCAAGCCCTCTACCCCCCGGGGCCGGTAAATTGGTACCAGAGTAATCTGGGAGGATAAAAGCACTGACTTGGAAACGGCTGGCCCCCGCGAGTCACTGTAATAGGCTCGCACGCATACAATTGCCTCTTCGACTATGAAGTTAGTGTGTGCGTTCGGCGCATGCCCTCAGAGGGTATTGAAGACGCCGAATCCTTTATCCTTTATTATTATTATAGCTAGTATGAAAGCAGATCCTTTGTTTTCGTCTTTTATCGCACTTATATCTGCTATTTCTGAGCATAATGCAACTTAAAGGAACGAATGCGATCTTGAAAGCTAAAGAACTATGTTTTACAGCGCGTAAAAAGACCGAAGATCACTCGGTCTCAAAGACTAACAGATGGAACGTAGAACAAGACGCCTAGGAGCAGATACGTAGCCCTTGCATGTGTTTTGCGCTGATGAAGTGAAAGATGCCCACAATGGAGTCACGGATATCTCGTTCGATCTGAAGTTTACAAGAAAACTGTCCTTTTGGTTTCGGAGAGTCGCGTAATCAGATCGAGTGATAAGTTTGACTAAGGAGCTACTCCGCGTAAACATCCTCTAAAAGTCGTTTTGTCTAGACAAGATTTCCAAGAACAGTGCCCCACCTCCCAAAGTTGGTTGTGACGAGTTATCATGCGCTACAGGCTGGACAGTTGTCGACTGGGCCTTAGTCCGCGATTGGCATCAAACTAACTATAGTTGATTCGTTGATCGCAAGGACCGGACATGACTGCGGAGCACGCGCCGCGAGGTAAAACGCTTGCCCCCGTACAAATGCGCCATTGCACAAATCGTGCTCTCGGAACATTTCAACCGCGCCGAGAGCGGTCCGCAGAGTGGGCGTCCGTGCGATCAGCGAATTGACGTAAATTATGGGAATGTGAATTTGTATGGGAGACTCATATTTGGCTTCATAGGTACTTCTGGAGCCTAGTTTGCAAACTCATTGCCATGGACAAAATCGCGAAATCACTCATACGCATTCGTTCTCCTAAGCAATTTTCTCGCTGCGGAATCTACTTTTTGCAGTGAATTTATTGCAGAAAATTTGCTTTTGCGATCCGGCTATTATACCGCATCAAAATTTCACCACGCCCAGTCTGTGGTGGACGATGTCTTCAAACTACGGAAGCAACCGATAAGGCTGCGAATGATGAGCGACAGGCTGCTTAGCAACTTTTGAATCCTATCAGGGCTTATTCAATTGACAGAATCTGCAAATGTAAGTCGCAACGACGGCTACCGCAACCGCCTTCTTAGACGATTATGCTTACGGACCGTTCCATTTGAGCAGAATTTCTCTGGACGGGAAATCATGCAATGTGGCTTAGATAATAGATAGTTAGAAGGTCGATTACACTGCCGAGTTGAAGTAACGAGAGATTCTATGCTAGTATTAATAGCGATTTTACTAGGTTTGAATGTGTGCTGCGGAGTGTTTTGCTTTTCGGATATAGCATTAGAAGTTTGTGTTCAGAAAGTCTTCAGGAACCACTACGCAGCACATTGCATAACATTGATGTTCCAAGTGATACATACAGAAGAATGGCAAGGATTACAATGATGAAGAACTTTTAGCATATGATATCATGAAGTGATGACGAATGTAATAAAGTGTGGAGAGAAAAGGTGAACATCCTAGTGTGATTAAGCCTTTTGGCATAAGATGTTTTTGAAGCTCATGATTCACTGCATATATTGGAAGAATTGAAACACAATATTCTTCGTCGCTGATGAGAGATCAGACAATGAGAGAATGCCGAAATATGGCCATTTGATGTATATCTGAGTAGCTGAGATAGCTGGTAAAAGTTTTGTTTGGTGATGACACTGTGGAAGCATTGCTTTCGACATTTTTTAGAGAGTGAAATGGGAAAAGAATATTAAAAATGAGTCAAAAAAGCCGTATAAAAGCCACTCACTATCTTCGTCCACATTATCTCCAATCAGCTCAAGCTTCCTGCTTGAATTTCATAGACTTGTGTCCTCTCACTTTTGGATCATTTACATTGTTAGCGCTTTTTGCACTCCGAAATCTAACTAGTATCTGATGCAGAAAAACGCAGCTTCTTTTACGAGCTACACATCCATTGTACTCGTTTTTTAGTTTAAGCATAGCTATACAAAATGCCTATTTATCTGTTTGAATCCGATAGGTGCCGCCTCCTTGGACTACTGATCCTTGCGGAGCAAAGAATAAATATGGGAAAGGATCAGTAGTCCGTGGAGGCGATGCATGTTGCTGATATTCGTCGCTCATCACGACCCGATATGATGTGGCATCAGATAGAACATGACTGATCAATCAGACGAGATGAAACAGTTAATGGTAACCAGCAACAAGTCTGATCTCTATGCTAGTGATTCGTAAATAAATCGCCTCAATTAATAAGAATGTATCAAACATTGACTCGTTGCTATAGTAAGACTCTATATCTGCGTAACGCAAGAAATATCAAACTTGTCTTCAGATGATCATACTACTCTGGTTGCTTTTCCTCGTTCAAGCAGCACATGCGGGGAAAATTACTGAAGAAGAGAATTCGAAGCTGAAGGAAAGGTGCAGCAAGTCTGCAGGTAACAAAGACAGTATCGAATACTTGTTTCAAAATCGGGCAGATTATTATAGTTATCAGCGACTCAGTCATCGCAGTTGAACATGACAAAGAAGTCTTTATTGCATTCACTTCTGCGTACTTTTAGAGTTCTAAATAAAGCATAAAAATCGATTTTGCATAGCAACTATTTTTGAATCTGAAAATGCTGTCTGTTTTTCACAGAAGCTGCAAAGCACACACCATTCTGGAGATTTTCCTGTTAACTGATGCACTTTAAGAATCTAGTTCGCATAGGCGAAGTGAAAGCGCAACTTTGACGATCCAAAGCGTTGAAAAGTCCGTAAAGCAGCTCCAATAGCATCTTACAAAAAGTACAATTATCTAACACGACGTAGCAGTCATAAACAACTCATCTGAAATTTTTATTACTTGGTAGGCACTCGGCTGGAAACCCGCCATAAGGGTTAAAAACATTCTATTTTTTATTGTACCTTAGTTGAGATTTATTGTAATGAATAACATGTGCCTTGATTTAGTAGCACCCAACGTGTACAAGCGATATCGGGCCGATCGATCAAAATATCCCTTTGCGGTTGCTTTGTCCTACGATGGTTAGTGCCTTTCGTAGCATTTCTAGTCAAGCTTGCAACTGCTGCAGCAAATCAATATCGGGTTTCAGATAATGGATCCCATAGCGCGCCTTTTTGCAGCGGCGTGCTAATCTCATATCGCCACATTCTGACCGCTGCACATTGCTTAGTCATAAATAAAACGGAAGCATGTAATAAAAGGTACTGCTTGATTCAACTTTCCTCTGACGACCGTAAATCTTTTCCTAGTCTGACTACCGGGCAATTACAATTACAAGGACTGCCCGCTCAGAGACTTGGTGTTTTTCTTCCAAGCAACTGCAGCACCTCAAAATGCTGGGTTGGAAAAGATATTCATAGAGTAGCATCTGTAAGTGAACTGTGTCCCCTTGTAATCCCAAATTAGTACATAGCACTGTTTCTCCAGGTACACAGGGATCGGAATTATGATAACGTGAACGAAGCTTGCAAGAATACTAGTTCGTATGACATTGGTGTGATCGAGCTCGAGGGGGACGTAAGAGGCCCACCTATTTGTATGCCCCAAGCGAATGATGCTATCCCTCAGAAAGCCAAATCCATTGGATACGGACCATATAGTGAGTACAAAGCAGACTTGTTTAGCCCAATATGTGTAACTCATTGCATAGTTGGCCAAACTTGTGCCATGCCACTAAAAGTAGTCGACAAACGATGTGTCTCGAAAACGACACTAACCATTCAAACTTTACTGCTCGTATAGTAGACCCGGCCCAGCTGATACCACAAGCTTGATTCCTTTTTTTAAGAAAGAAAGCAAAGCCGTCGTCTTTGCGGGATGCGAGAGGGTGGGGGGAGGGAGCCCTCTCCCAGGGAACTACATCAGATTTGAAACCGAAGCCAGAAATTTTCCATCCAAACATCCTCGCCGGCTTGAACTAGTCAAAACAAAGCACTATTTACACGCTTCAACACAATGTCACACAATGCGAGACCACTGCTTTGGACCGAACACTCAATGCTATGTACCGAATGTGATGTGCACATGCGCCTGAGAAAAGATATGGCGATAAACCTTGTGGCTTGTATGACTGAAAACCGCGCCTGATTTTTCCCTTTTCACCTAAGAACTAGTGAACTGGACACTTGCCTATCCACGCACATAATTTTGCATTTTTTTTCGTTAATAGCAGCTACATGACAAAAAATTCATGTAGAAGCTTCATATTAGCATAAATGATTTCGTAATTTTCTTCTACTCTCTTCATAGCCAAAAACTAAAAGGATACCGAAGCGCACCTAAGCGAATGCTTTAATTTCATCGATGTTGGGTGTTCACTGGCGCTTACCTTTCTTATTTCGATTCTATTCTTGCTTGTAGTTTATTCAGTGCCTGCTCTAGAATGCACTCCAAGAGATAGTGCGCGGTACCAAGAAAGGAGAAAGGTCAGAGAACCCTAATAATTTTGCGATATCAAGGGAAGGTGTCCTTCCAGAAACCCCCTGGTTTTAGTCGTGCTAAGCCCTATATAAGACCGACCAGTGGTCAACTGCCTGCTGTTCCAACCCAATACACCCATCCCAATAAACTGTACAATTTCATTCTTCTATTTGAATTTAACTTTCAATTTGAAGATCGTTCCGTGGAAGTAGATGGTCGTTCTATGCAAGTAGAAGATTATTCTATGCAAGCCGTGGATTACGATAGCGTACAAGAAGACCCCGACCCCAAAGAGAAAGCTGCACTCGTGGCATACACTAAGCATAAGAATGAAGCAACGATCAGTGTGAGCTACACACTACGCTTACTTTCCAAAACTTGAGGGGGGAGGGGCTTTTTTGGAAAAAACAGTATATTCAATAATCCTGTTAGAGTTCTTCTGTTCTCGTGACATGTCTTCGTTCTAGGGAGACAGTGGTGGGCCACTGCTTCAGAAACTGATTGGGAAATACTATCTTGTTGGTACAACAACGACTTCTACGAATCCAGATCCTGCAAATCCTGCAGAGGTGATGGAAAGTACGTTGACCGATGTTTAAAGATGCATAATCTAAAACAGCTGTTTCAAAACATTTGGAAAACTTAAGCCGGCGGTAGAAGGTAGGTTGGTTGATGTTCAGCGTCAAATGTTAGCACTACAATTGAAAGGCTTCCGTTTGTGAGCGTTAAAAAGGTTTCTCTAGTCACCTGTCCAAGCTTATTCGAGCTTTACAACAGCGCCGAATTCAGCATAAAATTCTTATTAAAAGCAACTACGAGAAGATTCTAAAACAGCTGCTTCGAATTCGCATTAAGAAAACTTAGGCTGGGTCAGTAAATTACTGGCTTTTCATTGAACTCCTTTTTGGTAAGGTGCATTATCAAGCAAAGAAATTTGATTCTGATATCACATGAAGTGGAATAAATACCAGTCTGAAGTGGCCAGTTTGGGAATATGCGCAAATTTAAGCGGACAATCTCGTAGTTCCTCACTTTGTCCAAAAGAACATGTTTTTCGATCGATGTGCACCTTGGTTTGTGTGTATTGATAGGTAGAGTCGAGAAGATTTTCCGCTTAATATAGTGTGTTTGCACTGAAGGTGAAATCAAAATTTGCGCGTGAACAAGTAGCCACGCCAGTAATGCCAACATTTTGCGCGCGCAAATGACCGGAGTCACAGGCGTAGCTATTTCTTTACGCGCAAATTTTACCTTCAGTGCAAGCACACTATATTGAGCGGCAAATCTACTCGACTGTATATGCGTTATACGCCTTCAAATTCATAGGGCAGAAATTTGATCTCCTACAAAAAATCCACAATCTGTAGAAGGGGGGATAACGCTCATTTACACTTCACACTGAGGAGGAAGCGGTAATTTAAAGCCAGAAAAATACACAGAAAACACAGGTGCGCAGTGCAGATTCGAAGCCGGAGTAGGAAAAAGAGAGAGAGGCATTGCGAGGGTAAACCATGAGGTAGGTTGCGAGAATAAACTTAAACAAAAGAAAGCAAACGGAAAGAGGGTAAGTTGTTGAATACTCTAGACCATTATGTGCTATACCTGGCCGACTTGAACCTATGGAGGCGAGACCGGGATCCGAAAGTCTTGAATAATGTCCATTCTCTATCTGTTGATGATTATGAATCATCAACCTCGACAACTAATCTAATAGCTTACACTCATGAACACAGCTGTATCTCAATTTCTAAGTACGAATGCTTTTAGGAGGTTTTGATTGTATTTATCTATTTACATTCTAACACATTTCGCCTCCTCCTTGCTCGCCCGGAGTGTTGATGATTTATGTATCATCAACCTCAACAATTCTATAGTCCTAATAGCTCACGGGTATTCCCCACAGGCTACATTCCCCAACCGCTTATATTTAAGTGCCGAATCACTCACCAGTGAGTGGCACCTATCTTCCAGGGGCCGCGCCAAGCCGCGGCATCCTCTTTCTTGCATATATTTCCTGGACAGTCTGATTGTGCACGGGTCAGCTCCGCCTTACTAGCTATATAAGGACCCCCCGAATGTATTACAAGTTGCTTCCCCGGTTCACACCGGGTTCGTCTGTGGATAAATTATTATCGACACCACTATCGCCTACGACACTTGGTTCTCACCAAATTGGTGCATCGACCAGTGAAGCCACCTCGTATTCTATCTGCAACCAAAGGAATCGAGGCCAGAAGACCCGCGTGGCAGGAAGACAACCAACCGATTATCTGAAAATTCCTGTGTATCCTTTTCGTAAGAGATCCAGGGAGGTGTAAGAAAAATCGGAAGGCTACCACTGACTATCTGAAAATCTTTGTGTATCCTTTTCGTAAGAGATCCAAAGAGGTGTAAGAGAAATCAGTAGGAATACCACTGACCATCTGAGAATTTCTGTGTATCCTTTTCGTAAGTGATCCAGAAAGGTGTAAGAGAAATCAGTAGGTAGCACATAATCACACTAATACGTGAAACTTTCTGTGAATCCTTTCCGTAAGCGATCCAGAGGGTGGAACAAATTTTGTGAGTGCAGCACATAACCACATAAGACCGTGAAACTTTCTGTGAATCCTTTTCGTAAGTGATCCAGAGAGCGGAACAAGTTTTTGTGGGTGCAAATTTCCAGTCAATCTCATTGATCTCTCACGAATCCTATCAAAGGACCGGAGATCAGTACATTGAGATTTGAAAGGAAAGTAACTTGAGTCACAAGCGCTCATTTTGATAAAAAAGTCAAAGTTCACGAAGAACTCTTGACTTAAGAGGATTGAAACCCAATCCTTATCTGGTCAAGGTCCAAGCCACCTTACCGTCAGCACAGCGTTCAAGCCACCCCGGCACGCTTGCTCATTAGAGATCAGCACTCAGCTGTCTCTATTCAACGACACCACTATCGCCTACGACACTTGGTTCCCACCAAATTGTGTCTATATCAGTGTCTGTTGCTGCTCTATTAAACGGTGCCCTTTTTCGATCTAGATTGCAGGACCTATAAAACACTGCGACAACAATCCTTTGTCAAGACCCAAATACCAACCAAATACTTTTGCTCCTTTTTAACCTCGAAAATTAGCCAGTCATCATATGGATTCCTTCATAAGAGTTTGGAAAGCATTATTCTTTAGTCCAAATTGGAAAAAATTCTATCACTCAAATGAAACATTCGAGTAAAGACTACTGCATGACGAAGGCGCAGAAGCAGTATTAGTTGAGCGGGCGTGAACGCGACGCGTATTATCCTCATCTTGTGAATCCTGCGCCTCATGCGCTCTGCGGCTAATAAAGCCGCGTTCGCACTCGAAGATATTGCGCCTTCAACATGCAGCAGCCTATATATTTGCATTCGAAATTCGAAACCCGGAGATTTCCATTTCCGAGTAAAACTCAAAAAGTCGATTATCAAAAGAACTGGGGGTCGGAATAGGAAACGAGGACTCGATTCAAAGAACGGGGTTTCGAATAAAATCAAATACTCGAGTCATTGGAGATCGATTTGAAAGGATACTATTCGAAGGTTTTACTCGAATTCTTACTGAAATGAATTTCTTCGAATTATTGGGATTTGTACAGAGCCACATCGACGGAGCAGGGTCAGCAATTTTGGATATGGTTCTTCTAAGTGTTCGGATAGCTCAGTCGAAAATTCATACTAGGTCATCCCAAAAGTTGATTCTCACCGTTTTTAAAAACTCGTATTATCTTATTTTTCCGAAGGATTTTCACATGGTTAACTGTTCCTAAATGAGGAAATTATGCTCTTTATGACGCACCTAAATTCCTTCTACTAGGTTGATTTCTGTTCTGTCCTTGATTTTGAAAAACTGATAACTGCTCCCTCTATGAAGTACTGAACTTACAAAAAACATCTACAGATAGAAAAATCTATTCACTTTCTCATAACGTCCTCGCTGCTTTTCCACGATAATCATTCAAAGAAAATAAGTCAAAATATCTAAAACGCTGCGGAAAAATGTGAGATCATGTTTATTAGAGGAGTTTTGAGCTGTTTTCAATGGTGCTAAGTTTGTGCTTATTGAGCTTTTCTGCGAAGAATTAGGATTTTCGTTAAAAGTGCAAAAAACGGTTAAAAATGGCGTTTTTCGCTTTTTTCTGCATTTATCACGAAAATCAACACTTTTTGAAGGGAAAGTCGTATCGCACAAGCTTGGCATCGTTGAAAAAAAGCAGCTCACAACTCCTCTAATCATGATCTCACATTTTTCTGGAGCGTTTCAGATTTTTGACGATTTAATCCCGAAAATCACGGATTTGAGCAGCCCTCCTATCCAAATTTTTATCTCTGGGATCTTCTGTCGTCAAAGAGCATCGAGCATGAGAAAGCAGATGGATTTATTTATCTGGAGGTATTTTTCGTATATCACTACGTTCACCTAAGGAGCGGTTACGAATTTTTGAATTTTAAAGCGACAGAACTATTATATCCATCTAACACAAAGCATTGAAGAAGATCGCTCGATTTTCAGTTTTTTGTAGAACTGTCAAAAATCTCAAACTCGCCCTGAAGATCGCAGCTGATTTTATACGTTCCTGCTCTTTCTAGCTTAGCAATTTCGTTTTGATTGAGCTTTTCTACAAAAGGATTATTTTCGAGCACAATACAAAATGACAGATCTAATTTTCCTGACATTTTTTCCAGATCATAACTTTTGCTAGAAACCCTCAATCAGCACAAGCTTTGCGTAGGTAGAAAAAAATCTTGAAACTTGAGGAAAACTCTCAAGAAAACAAAAGCTAGAACTAAATATTACGATTTTGCAAACTCTAGATTACTGACAACTTTACGTAGGAAAGTCAAAACTGATACTTTTCTTCTACAGCTTATTTCCCCATTCTAGGCGTGATAGTAGAACACCGTTTGAATTTTTTTTGTTTGTAAAGCACATGACTTCCTTGTCCTCTTGACATGTGCAAATCCTTCGAAAAGATTAGAAGTTATGAGTTTTTGAGAAGTGGGCGAACAAACTTCCAAGAGATATTATATGCGAATAATCTATTCAAATGTCTGGACATTCAAATAAAGCACAGAATATTTGTTCGAACCTTTCTACCCTGAACGATAATCGATTTCGTTAATTCGAGAATTTTACTTCTCAGACTTATTCGATATGCATTCATTCGATAAAACTTTTTGAATCTGCTGGTGAGTAAGCAGAAAGACTACTAGAAATGTCGAAAGATTGGGCTTTAAAAGTTTGTACAATAGCATGCATTCGCTGTCTATGCTGTTTCAGGCTGGTTCGTCGATGTGCGTAAGAAATTAGATTGGATTTGCGATGAGACAGGTGAGTGAAACTATAATACCGCCAAGGTAAGAGTGAAGAATGTCACGAGACCTTTTGAATACTGTCTAAGAACGAAAGCAAAGTGAAAACAAAAGCCTCAAATCCGCTCACTAAGATTGACGCCCATCAACCTCTATCGTGTAGACATCAAATCAAAAAAATAACTCCTGAGCCATAATTTCTCATATGTATATTTATGTAGGAGTCTGCCCGCTTACTGATTCTGGAGAAAGCAAGCGACCACCCTCAGAAGAGGAGGAATCTTCCTAAGAAGCCATTTTCTGACAACATTCACGACGAATGAAAGAAGGAATTTTTGTGCAGATGTGAACAAACAACGTTGTCTGTTGCCGATAAACATTTTTGCATCATCGAGTGCCATTTATATTGGATATACTATGAGCGATCTCACAGGATACCGCAAACGCTGCTCACTCGATCACAAAGGTTTTCAAAAAAGGAAAGTGCAGAAATGCCGCACTCGCAGATATGCATCAGTGGCGGTTTTATAACTTTCTTGAAAACCAAAAAATCTCCGAAAAGGCAGTTAACGTTGCTCGCTCCTATAAAATTGCCGTTGAAGTGGCGGCAGCTAATTCTTCTAACTTTGAAAAACAATTCGATTTACCACAGAGGTATTATCCTCTCTATAAAAACGGCCACCTGATGATCAATAACTGTTGTTTACCAGTCAGAAGAAGGGGGGGGGAGGAAAAATCATGCTCTATCCGCAATTGTCTCCTCTGCTACCCACCATACATATGGCCGCAAAATGGTGGCCTTCTTTCCGGGAGACGGTCAAGAGGCGCGATTTCTCTGGCTGTCACCAACTTAAAAGCCCATTTCTGCACTACACAAATTTTTAAAAAATTCCAGAGATGGTCGTTTAGCTTACTAGCTGTTCAAAGTTACCATTTACTGATTTTCACGGCTTTTGCTGCAAATATGAGTGAAATATTCACGAAACTGCCATTATTTGCATTTGCATGGGTTCTTGACCTCCAATGTTTCTGTTTTGGATCTTTTTTAAGATGATAAGATCAGACAGCTCATGCAACGATCTTCTATAATTTCTCAGAAATTTGAAAGGCCTCTAAAACATTATTAAACATTTAGAATGTGCAATTTGTCCAGCTGGCAATAAAAACAGCGCCTCTTGACATACACCCCTCTTTGGGTAGTAACCCGATCTAAAAAATTAGCCGTTATTGAGTTTATCACCTCTTCCTGGCATCAATATATAGGCTGTACCAACCAGCATCGGTCTCGCGCTGTCATGCCTTGCGAAGACGCACGGTCGCATGCGACGTGCCTTAACGCGTAGCAGTGTTCGCACGCGTCAAACCGCACCGTCGCAAGTCGCCACAGGCGCGACGTCACATGACCGATGCTGGTTGGTACAGCCTATGTGTCAGGGAGTTCTCATGAGCTATCTATCCTAGGAATGCTTTGGGTGTACATCCGTTATTGTTTAACAAGTCACTTCAAGTATTTCATCCCTTTCAAATTTCTGAGAAATTATAGAAGATCGTTGCACGAGCTGTCTGATCTTATCATCTTAAAAAAGATCCAAAACAGAAACATTGGAGGTCAAGAACCCATGCAAATGCAAATAATGGCAGTTTCGTGAATATTTCACTCATATTTGCAGCAAAAGCCGTGAAAATCAGTAAATGGTAACTGCGAACAGCTGGTAAGCTTAACGACTTTCTCTGGAATTTTTTAAAAATTTGTGTAGTGCAGAAATGGGCTTTTAAGTTGGTGACACCCAGAGATATCGCGCCTCTTGACCGTCTCCCACTAAAGAGCAGAGCATTGTCTTGTATGTCAGCCGTTCTTTACATCCACTTGACAAAACTCGGCTCGAGGATCGAAGTAATAAGAGCAATTGATTGACACTTTATATAAAAAGCTGTTAAAAAAGGGTAGCATGTTGACAAAAGTTTCAAACCCTTCGCGAGTTTACTGTTTTTGTGCGATAACAATTTTTTCCGATTTTTACCTCTTCTACGCCATGTCCACTTGAAGTAGATGAAATTTAAACGCACTATTATGCTGCCTTGACTATATTGTGCGCAATACTTGGTTGCTTGTTTATTTGTGCTAAATAACTACAGGGTTGGGGGAAAGTCTTTGAACAACATTTAGGTGCTATCTTTTTTTATTATATCATATCATGTCTTATCTTATCTTTGGTGTAAATGATCTTTGAACTCTTCTATAAAAGCCCTCCAAAAATTGGATTGATATTCTTAATCCTACCGGAATTATGCCATCTCAATCAGAGCGCGAGCTGATCGTGAAGATGCACATGGAAGGGAAGTCACAAAAGCAGATCGCTCAAATACTCGGAATTCCGCGGAACACAGTGTGGTACAACCTGCGCCGTTTCAAGGAGACAAACAGTACCCAGGACCGTCCTAGGGACGGTAGACCAGCCACCGCGAACACTGCCGCGAACCGGAAGATCATCCGAGAACGCATACGTCGTAATCCGCAAAGGAGCTTGAGTGAGCTGGCATCAGAGCTGTCCGTCAGTCGTAGGACCATCTCGGACATCGTGAAAGTGAACCTTGGGATGAAGCTCTACCGGATGCAGAAAACGCACGCACTTCAAGACAAAATGAAGCTGACCCGACTTCACAGGTGTCGCCGATTGCTTGAGCGCTTCTCCAAGGCACGCCACCGAACGATCCTCTTTTCTGACGAGAAAATTTTCACAGTGGAGCAGGTTTTCAATCGCCAAAACAGTAGGATCATATCCAAGTCGCTCGAAGAAGCAAACAGCAAAGGTCGACTTGTGGAAAGTAAGCTCCATCCGGCTTCTGTGATGGTTTGGGCGGCAATCACTTCCGACGGCAAGACGCCGCTGATTTTTGTGCCTCAGGGCATCAAGGTAGACGCTACTGAGTATTTGGATAGCATCCTGAAGAAGCAGTGGCGTACCCAGGATTTCGGCTCGGGGGGGGCGCGGCAAAAAAATTTTTCAAATGAAGGTGCGTGGCGTTAGCCACGCACTCCGAAAAATTTTTAGGGGGGCTTCTCAACAATTTTGTGGGCCCCCAATCCCTAAAATTTGGAAAAAGGGGGCGTGGCGTCAGCCACGCCCCCGAAAAAAAAATTTTTATAAGGCTAATTTGAATTTTTAAAAAATTTTTAAAATTATTTTAATTGTTTACAAAAATAAACAAGTCATTTGCACATTTTTATAACTCATGTAAGTAACTTTCAAAAATTTCGCGACCCGTTCTCGGGGGGGGCGCGCGCCCCCCCCGCCCCCCCCCCTCGGTACGCCACTGCGAAGAAGGTACTGCTACCCTGGACCAATACCCATTTTTCCGGTAGAGATTGGTGCTTCCAGCAGGACAGCGCACCTGCTCACAAGGCGAAGGTTGTTCAGGCATGGCTTCAGAGCAACGTAAAGAACTTCATTACTCCTGAAGAATGGCCCCCGTATTCGCCGGATCTCAATCCCCTCGACTATAGCGTATGGTCAGTTCTTGAGGCCAAGGCTTGCGCTCACCCACACAAGACTTTGGAGTCCCTGCGTCGTGCTCTTCAGAAGGCGTGGGAAGAAATCGACGTGGAGTACCTCCGTGCCACCGTGGACAGCTTTCCCAAGCGTCTTCGAGCCTGTATTCGCGCCGAAGGAGGGATCTTTGAAATGTAAAGGTACTTTTATATAACAGAGTGTTTGATAAACATTATATATTCATTTCATGTGAATATGTTGTCTAGTTTCGGGACAACGATAAAAATACCGTGTTCAAAGACTTTCCCCCAACCCTGTATAAAAAGCAGTTGTCAGAACTATACGGTTGAAAATCGGTTAATTTTTGGCGCACTTTGCTTCTAGATACCCAGTCATATGAGATTATAACGTATCTACTCATTCATTTATCAATTTAACATTTCAAAAACACATCGCTGTACAAACGCTGTTCCCGCTTACAAAAATAGTGGCAAACAGGAATACTATGGCTACCAATGAAATGGGTGAGAGAGAGAAAAATCAAGCGTAACCCGGCGGTTCCCACTTTTGGTCGCATTTAGTAATGGATAATGGATCTTTAAAAACCTTTTTTTTTACAATGACCAAGATCATATAGCAGAATATGCACTCAAGGTGCGAAATGAGCAAAAAAGCAACTAGAGCGTGGCAATGTCTTTAATCGAAACGATTTTCTTGCTGAACCAAACATCTTTCTTCTTTTCTATAAAGCGAGAGATACTCCGCCAGTCTATACTCGGAGAAAAGAATGAAATTTTCAGGAATCCGTCATACGAAAGGAGAAGAAAGACGCAATTAATACTAGGCTGTTGCATAAGTTCTGTCCGATTTTTTTGCCTCATGTTTGAAGCAGCTGTTTTAAGAGAATTTCATCTCTAATACGATACGGTTGGTACCATTGAAAAGTGCTTTCCTTGCGCTTTCTAAAGCATACCAGAATTCAATAAAATTCTTAGTGTACGGAGATCACAGGCCTAAAATCTCTAAGTGGCCGAGGTACGTTCTATCCCTAGAAATACGTCCTTGCGAGGATATCTCCACAATGCGCCCTTCAAGTCAGGTTCTTTCATTGGCTTCGGAATAAGGGTATGGAATGCTAGTATATGCAGAAGTTCGGTCCCATGAAGAATACGTCTTGCTAGTGAAATTTATCCTCGAACATAAATCTTTGGTATAGATGTTTTACAAGCAATAACTTTCTGCGAATAGAAGTAATCGACAAGCTCAAAGTTGGAGGTGCTAGGGCAAAGCAAGAGCTAACAGGGCCCATCCACCAATTCCTTTTCGGCGCTCACGTCAGTTGTAAAACGTTCGTAGTTCATAAATAGGCATGCACACATGTGCTGAAGCGAGGTCAAAAAGTGGCTAATTTTTTGTTCGGTGAAAAAAAATCTCTCGGCAGCGCAAACCTTATGGGCTCTTTTATGTTGCATAATAATCTACGAAAATTTCTCTATCCATCCATTATTAGAAAAGATGCCTATCAATTTTCATAAGGGAGCGTTACCATGTCAAAAAAGACAGATTCGAAGAAAAACGCTGCGAAGTTTTTGCATTCTTGGTTCTTCCTTAACAAAGATTTGCGCAGATCTCAATACGCATTTTTTAGCCAAGGGACTGCTCAACACATAGAAACTAAGACCTTGGAAAAAAGTTGACTCTGAAAGAAGTTATGACATTTTAAACTCAAAAATTCAAATCGGACAGAACTTATGCAACAGCCTAGTAAGAGAAGTTCTCGAGTCCTGTAGACCTCAACTATTTTCAGAGTTTGTAAAGGCTTATTGTACACATTTTTCTCCGAAACAGCAGAGCTGGAAGTCAGCTTAATTGGCAAAAGGCTCTGCAATCTTGCTGTG